GCAATTTTCAGAGTATCTTCTGACATCCATTTTGGACTTTTCTTCCTCTTCTGTCTTTGCAATGACCGTTTGGACTCTTCCTTGATGATACCCTTGATATCCTGCCACAACTCATCTGGCCTTCGCTCATTAATGTTCAAAGCCTCAAAAAAGAAAATATATATATATCAGATATATTTTATTTAGAATGCCAAAAGCATTTAATAACAGTTATAATAGTTGTTGTCATGTACCATTGGGTTGGAACAGACCCATTGCTGACTCCGGCAGGTTTCAGAGGTAGTTAATCACACAGGAGGAGATTGCCCATCCTTCTTTCATGGGGCAGCTGGTGGCCTTGAACTGCGTGCCTTCGAGATTGCAGCGCAGCTCCTTGCCACTGGGCCATAGTTAATTACATAGTTTAAATCTATTGTATATAGAGTTGTTTGGTATTTTCTTTTTTGTAATTTGTATTTTAACCAACATAATCGTTCAACAACAGTTTTAATAAATATAGCCTCAGTGTAAAAGAAGATAAACTAATGAGCAAATCTATGTTTACTTCTTGACTCTGTGACCAGAGAATAACTAGTGCACAACAGCCTGTATTAGATATTATATTCTGAGATGGTTTACATTGGTGGTGTAAACTTGTATTGGTCTATTGAGCAGAAGGTCTTTGGTTAAATATTTAAGATACTGTTTGTGTGTTTTGAGAGTTGGCTTTTTAAGCTTTCTGCTAAGACTTTGTATAAAATCACTGACTAGGACATTCCTTGAGCTCTTTCATGTAAAAAATAACATTTTGTAGTGTCAAAAATGCTCTATAAGGGTTTTCTTTTAAACTTTAGATTGAAGATGATGCTATATTTTAAATAAACTATTCCAACATTTAAAAAAAGTCATAAAATACCTCTCTTGAAGTCTTCTTTTACCATAGTAGTAAGAATTTGACAGAAAAGTGTCACTTGAACTTGTGAAAGAAGGAACATGAATTTTGGCATTGCATCTCTGCATTCTGGGGCTATAGTAAGACCTTTATTTGTGCCTTAGTCTTGTAGTGATTTGCTGCTAACCTACAGGGTGCATCTTCTGTGGTTTGAATCCACTAGTGTCTCCTCAGAAGAAAGATGGGCAGCCTTTTCCAATTGCACTTTATAACTTCAAAAGCCTGGGGAGCTCTGGTGGCCTAGTGGCAGGAAGCTGCGCTGCTGCATTTGAAGACACCAGCTGCTCTGAGAGAGAAGGAT